AGGAGGATTACAAATATAGACAGTGCTCTTGGAGAAAATGACAGAAGAGTACAATTTGGTTGACTTTTAGGAGCAAGTCTTCTAAAAATGCTCCGGGACAAATTGATCAATACAGCATTAAATGGTAAAAAATATTCAAGCTATGATCTTCAGCATAGACTGCTAGTAGATTTTGTAATGAATCTATATATAAATATCTTTGAAACGAAAGCGTTTTTCTTGAAATAACAGTTCCAGGTACTGGTGTTCTTGGGTACAGTTTTAAGGTTTCTGAGAGAAATGAAATAAATGATTAGTGTTACAATGTTTTATTCGTTTTTAAACACACAGTTACATGCAGTGTAATGTTACTTATGTTTATGATCTTGTTTACAAAAGTTCTTATGAAGGTTTACATATATTGGTGCACTATATGTTATGCATACAACAGTAACTGTCTTTGTTTTTATACTAGTCATTAAAACTAATATGTAGTTTTATTACATTTAATCATCAGAGAAGTTATTTATGCTTTTTGAAAGCACAATGTTGTTTAGACATGTCATTTAAATGACGCATTGTTCAAATGATTAAATAAAGGATTTACAGAAGGTTTTTGTGTTATTGAAAATGAAATGAAATGAAACATGCGACAACAAACCATTAAAATTTGTATTAAAATTTAATTTTAGTGAAGTTATCAAAATTATGTTAAGATAACTTGATTTAATTGCACAGAATTAACATGATCAAAGCATATATCTAAAATAAAATAATAATGTTAAGCTAACATAACTGAATTATGTTAGGATAACTTGAAAAGACTATGTACACATTACTTTTTGAAAATACATCTGATTAACACAAAAGTATTATAATGAAACCACATAAATGCGTAGGACACTGAACTCAAACTGAATGTGTGGAACCAATGTCCATAATTCAATTGAGTAAATCCAACAAATCTTTTTTTTCAGTGTATGAATGAAAACCACAAAATCAACACCTGCCGAATGTAAAATTGTAGTTTTAGGTTTACAAATGTTACAAATTTAACAGGCTTCAGTTTAACATCTGATGTAAATAAACAGGTTACTTTACAATTTGTGCATCAGTTTAAGAAAATAATTGTCTCTTGATTCCATCTGTCAATTAAACAAGTTAACAAGTTAAACTTGTCAACAAGTTAAGGAAAACTTTTTCTGGTAATTAACTTCTTTGATTTTAAAAACATGCTAAAATATTTTGAGAGTTTAACTGATATTAAAGAAGGAAATTGTACGCTCTGAAGTAATATTATATATATTTTTTAATGAGAATAATTTGGCCATGCTGTTTGTACCGTAGGTGGTGCTATAAACCAACGGTATGTTATGCGCCATACAAACTAGTGAAGAAGAACATACGGCGGCCTGCGTCCCAATGTGCACACTATCCATCCTGAATTCTATGTGATATTAGTAATTTTCAATACTATTTAGGGCAGATAGGGTGGATAGTATGCACATTGGGACTCAGGGATGAACACGATGAATGTTTGTACTTGTGTGTATCGTTGAACGTTAAATATTTATATATTCAGCAGATACCGGGACAGTTGATGCTTTTAGAAGCTGCTATCGAATCGTGTCGAAGTTACTTTGATAGATAGATGTCTAGATATTGGTGTTGGTTGGTTGTCAGGTAGTTTACAGATGTATTTATTAGACAAATGTCAAATATAAACACTTTCTCAACATTACTGGGCATTTGTTAATTAGTTTATTTCTAGTAGTTTTCTTTACTTTGTAATTACCTCCACATTTATAGATATGTAAAAGAAAGATACTAAAGACAAATCATTACGTTATGATATAATTAATAATATGTGTGTGTGTGTGTGTTTAGTTCTCAGGTGCATT